TTTTTCGTTTGTCATTTTTCTCTCCGTTTGATATCTTCTGCTTTTTGACTGTGTTAGCAGTCTTTTATCTTCTATGCCTCTAGCCTAAACCTGTAAGCCCAGAACTCTTTTCTCTCTTCTCTCTCCAGTACAATTAAAACAATAAAAAATGTTTATCATGTACTTTCTCTGAAAAGGCAACACCGGGAAATGATGAAAATGAAAAGCTTGCTTGCATTACATGTTTACTCTGCATACTTTATGCCTTCTTGATATCTCTCCATATCTTCTTTTGACAGCACTTTGCTTCCTTGTGACAGTATCTTGTACTTTTGGCAGAAAGTTTGAATTTGGACTTTGTTTGGCAATTTGAACTTTTAGTTGTACATGTTGTTTGCTTTTGAACTATACAGTTGGTTGGCCAATTTGAACTGTGGAATTTGTATACTTTGTGCATTCATGATCAGTAAGCAATATTCATCCCTTTTTGTGAACCGGGAGAAATCCCGTGATTTGCAGAGAGGGCTAACTGATTCCAGTCAGTTGCCTTTAATGATGAGCCTAAATTAAACTGTCTGTCTCTTTAATTCAATTTATCTGTTTTAACTTTTTTTCTTTTCTTTTGCAGACAAAAATTGAATGGAGAGGATTTAGCAACAGATGAAGAATGAAGAATTGAAGATTTAGAAACAATTAGGATAGTCTTACTTTAAATTTAATTATTGTAAAATTATTATTGTAAACAATTTGTAAACAAAACAATTGTACAAATAAATTAAAGATAAATAAAAACTCTTTTTTATCCAATTAATTCTTTTCTTCTTTTCACTTGTTTACTTTATTATCTATAATTCTTTAAATTAAAATAATTGAAAATAAATTTCAACTATTTAATCTTAGAATAATAAATAATTAAATAAACATTTCTTCAGCATTGATCAATTAAACTTGGCGCTTCCAACGTCCAAAGCAAAACAACAATCAATCACAACAACTGTCCAGACGTATTTTCTTTTTATTGACTTTAATCAAACACTGCAAATTCAAACCCAATGCATCCTTTCACTGATTTAGTCACACAATGCGAATTCCATCCAAATGCATTTTTTACTGATTAAGTCAAACAATGCGAATTCAATCCAAATCTCGGAATATCTTGCAAAGCACCGTAGAATTAAATCTTTCTGAGGAACCGCGCATGAAAACCCTAATTCCTGATTAAATGCCAAAGAAGCGTTCTCCTGATCGAAGTTGAGTCAAAATCAACCAAAACCCTAAGCAAACTGCGTGAACTGTTCTAAACCCCTCAAAACTAGAGAAAACCCTAATTTTGTCTGACTGACGAGAAAAGTCTGTTTGACCGATTTTTGAGCCAGTTTGAAAAATCAGGAAACGCCTGAAGCTGTGATTTCTTATGGAAAAATGCGAGGGCAAATTTTGGGGTACAACAATCACTAAAAACTCTTCTTACTCATTCAATAAGAGTGTTTAATCCTTGATGGTATTCCTTTTTCAGCCTGGCTAGTTGCTACTTTGTTATTTTATCAAGCGTAGCTTGAATCATAAGTTAGAATTGTTAAATCAGAATTTTCAGTCATTTGATTCAAATCAAGTGTAATACATGATTTTAATCATAAACTATGTGAAAATGGGATTTACATCTGGAGCATTTAATTTGAATCACAAAATGAACATGATTAAAATCACACTCATATGATCTGAATCAAGTGTAAAAGTTTATTTGAATCAACTATTTTCATGAAGCTATGTTTGGGTTCTACTCAAATTGATTTGAATCACGGTTTTCTCTTGATATGAATCAAAGCTTCAAGGCTGATTTTTCATCCTTGATTTAAATTATTGTTTCTTTGATGAAAGTAAACAAGTGAGTAAAACCTATGAGAGAAACTCATAGAGACAAATATTGATTTTGTCTTCTCTTCTTAGCGTGTCTATACTCATCACCATGATCTTCTCTCTTCTTCTCTAGAATAACATCTTGATTATGAATTCATGTCAGATTCATTCTCATTTTAGTTGCATCTTGTTCTTGTGCAATTTGTTATTGTGTTGAGTGAATTAGAGAGAGAGAGAGAGAGAGAGAGAGAGAGAGAGAGAGTTGATTAATCTTAACGTGTTTTTTATGATTAATCAATCTTTTGATAACAATCAAAACCAAGACTCATTACCCATAAATTTAAGAGACCCTTATGTGTGTGTTCTTCATTCACATTCATCGAAATCCTTCACTAACACCTTATATTTTTAGAGTTTTGAAGGGGATTAGTGGTACATTAGAGTATCTAATGTTTTGTGTGAAGTGTTTTGTGTGTTACAGGTGTAGATATTATTTCTTGAATGAAGTTTGACATTTGTTGTTATTCATCAAGAAGAGAGTTTCATTATACTCCAAGAAAGACTTTGGCGGGATCTAGTATCAATTATTCGAGAGGCATGGATGGAAGTTGTCCATCTTTAGTAGAGTTGGAAAAAGATTACTCGCGGACAAAGTTGAGAGTTGTCCAACCAAGTCTTAGATAATTACAATTTCTAATATAAGAGATTGGTGAGATCGAGTGGATTGCCACATACGAATACTTGGAGCGGAATTATTATGGATATCAAGATTATTAGATCAAGATCTTTTAGAGATCGTGTTTTTGTTAGCAGTTGAGTGTCTACATAAACAGAGGGAATTATCATTTGATAGTTCGTTGTAACCAAAATGTTTGTAATCAAACTTATCAAAATAGTGGAAGATCGTGATTATTTTTCAATGTTTTTCAATACTATTGAAGAGTGGAGTAGGAAAAGTAAGAATGAACATTGAACCACTATATATCTATGTGTATCTTTTCTTTTTTCTTTATCCTCTTTTAATTTTTTAGTATTCATTAATTTTGCTATTGTATTAGTGCATTATTGCATAGATTGCATGCCATATAACTTAGACTTTGCTTATAGAGATTTAAGGTATAAGCTTAGGTCTGTGGTGAATCAATCTTATTGAAGTATCATGAATCCAATTATGTCTTGATATAACATATATGTTAAGAGTTTTGAAATAGATTTGTTTAAAGTAAATTTGGTTGTCTTGTGATAAACTTGCATTAGAATCAATCAAGTACTTAGTAAGATTATGTATCATTTCATTTGGCTTAATTCATTGAGATGCTTCTAAACTCTCTTGCTTTTACGTTTTTCTTTCGCGCTTCTTAAAATCTATGATTTCGTATATGGAACCTAAAACATTCTTGAAATTGTCTTAGAGGGAAAAGGCTCTACTCAATCCCCCCCCCCCCCCCCCCCCCCCCCCCCCCTCTCCTTCAAGACCTTTTTGTGTCCATACTCTCATCCAACAATTTCATCCACTCATACAATATATTTCATGTTGTTGTAAACCCTAGTGGCCAATAGTTATATTTGACATTCGTATCGAATTATCTATTAATAATAATCCATTTATTATGTTTATTTTTAGAAAATAAAAAAGTCCCTAGAATATCTAGTATGTTTAATGAAACATTAACTATGACTTAATCGCGAGGCTCCATTAAATATAAGAACAATATTCTTAAAGTATCTATAATCAAGCTTTATTGTGAAGTATAATAACATTAAAGAATTGAGACTACTATATGGATAGATTGATGATCACATCTCACAGATCACGGATAAAGAATTATCAAATATTCACATATGTATAAATATTAAAAGTAATATTTATATTGGATTGACCCGTCATGAAAATACTACATAGAACGTTATGCAAATGTTATAAGTTATTTTCATAGTGATAATGATGTATATCACTCTTCAACCTAAAACTACTATTGACCCAGGATGTTATTGTCATAGACATTATTACAGAAATTTTTTGTCATATCACATGACATTGTCCTGACTTAGATAACAATGATGTAGTGCTAGATACCGCTTACTGTTTATTATTTTTAATGTGTGATTTAGTATAATTATCATTGTCACGAAAATCTATAAGGTCACACACAAAAGGACAAATTGATGAAAGATAAAATAAATAAGTGAAGCTTACTCGATTGTATAGTCTTGTAATGTACTAGCGTTAACTAGAGAAATGTGATACATCGGAAGGTGTGGTGTATTTAAATGGAATATGAAACACCATAAATTACTATGTACTTAAATAAAATAAAAAACATGATAAGATAATGTGTACTTAAGTAAAACATAGAAAATCGTAAGATACTACGAAACACCATAAGATAAATAGTACTTGAGTGAAATATAATACACCACAAAATATGGTGCACTTAAGTGAGCTTGTTCAGTTTACATCTCACACAAACGATTCTATAAGTAGAATCTTTGTGTTGAATATTGATGCTTGGCCAAAACTTGATTTATGAAGCCTAGCCACACTTTATCTCTCTCTCTCAAAGTTTTCATTCAAGTTAATTAGTACTGAGATTGAAGAAGAAACTATTAAAGTGATGTGAGTTGTGAGGTGTTGGAGTGATTGAGAGTTTCTTGTAAAATTTGTTTAGCGGAAAGAGTGTCAATGGACAACATAGTAGAGATGTGTCGGGATTTTTTCATTTTGCATAAAAAGATTTTGTACTTTACCATATTATCAACTATGTGTACAATCTGAAAACTGTTTAGAGAAATAGGATAAGTTTTTGTTTTGTGTCAAGTACTACAATCTGAAAACTGTTTAGAGAAATAGGATAAGTTTTTGTTGTGTCAAGTACTATTTGAAGAAAAAATAGATTATATGTAAGGCGTGTATAAAATGCATAACTTTTTATGATAAACTATAACTTTTGGTATAATAATAGTGTCTTGACTCTTGAATCACAAGGCAAAGCAAATAGCAGAGTCAGTCTAAAAAATGCAACTGTTTAATGAAACAATATTCTGAATATCATCTCAGGATAATACATGAAGATAGCCTAATAAAACACAGTTACAATCATTACAAGTTCATACAATATCTTTCATAGATGGATGTAAATTATGCCACTAATATCACATTTATGTCATCTCCGAACACGGTGACGTTCTCGTTTCTTGAAACGCTCTAACATGAATTGGTCAGTTGCAGCCTGCCTCTGTATTGCACCAGCAGCATCACTGCCGGTATCATTTTGTTTGGATGCAGAACTATCATCCTGCAGACTTCTTTCTTTGTACAACTCGGGATGTTCTGCAAATTAGTTAGCTTTTCTTATCAATAATTGGTATGGTTTAAAACGAGCAAAAAAATCAAAAGTAGTCTATCTGTGAAGCAAATGCAGCAAAATGAATTCATTAATAAATAAATCAAGGTTGACAATGACCTAGAATCTAACAGCATACATGTAATATACATGTATATGAATAAATCAGGACAAAACCATTCCATAGTTCTTCTCCATATGGTTTTGACCACCACATGGAATTTTTAGGAGGAAATATTGAAATCATTCTACTTACAAATATTAAACAAAAACCTACTGATCAAGAAATTGATGGATTTGTCAAGGCCTTTGATATTGTAAGGCAAGTAGAACGGAAACCTACTAACTCAAGCCCTCTACGTTCACTGTTTCAATTTTATTTCAGTTTTGAACTTTACTTCCAGAACAAAAAGTTCCCCCATTTCAGTAGTTATTGGAAAAATTTGCATGCCCATTTTAAAACTAAAGAGCAAACTTCAAACTTGCCATTGTGTTGAAATTAGGAACAAATACGAAGATGAGGGTTGATGAAGGAGCTGAGATGAGAGGGAAAGACGTTAACAAGAAAGAGGGAGCTGGAGGAAAATATACCGTGTGGAGAGTCCAATACAATATCTAATGGATCTGGTCAATCTAATGGTACCTGAAAGTAGAGTATATGCACAACCTATACTACTATTGCATGCAAGAATTGGCCTGCAAATCTATAATGAAAGAATCAAGGAAAATGTTACCTCTTCTAAGTTTTTCAGCATAATCCCTGCCCCGCTGGAAATAATCAGCACTGTAACTTGATGGAATGCTGAAATCTGACTTTGCCCGACCAACCATAAGCCTCTTTTCCTGCAGAAGCTTTTTGGCAGCCTCTGTTTCTTCAATATTTTTCAATTTATATCTGCAAACAAAGAAACAAACCCATAAGACACAGCACCTATTTTTCTTGCTAGAAAAATTCATTTGTAAAGAAACAGTAAACAAAGACCACAAAGTAATACTAGCATCAAATAAGAAAAGTAAAACCACTATACTTAAAAAAGAAAGAAAAGAAACCAATGATAAGATGAATCATCTGGACTATATCATTGAAGATTGAGAAAAGGATTTTTCAACTGAAAAGCCAAAATTATTCCATTTCCAGTTGCTTGTTCCCAACAATAGGCACCAAGTAACCCTAAATAAACTTATCACCCCAGCTAAATACACATTGCAAAAAAACAACTTGAAAGTAAAATGCAAAAAAAAATAATAGCGCTATAGAGTTATCGATAGCAGCGCTATCTCTGGATAGCGGCCCAGAGCAGTGACCCTCCACTATTTGATGTTTAGTGGGTAGCAGGAGCGGGTTTGAATTGTTTTGCACGCAAAAACCCAAATATTCTTTTTAAAATAAATAAATCTGGTTTCATTTTATATCTGTTTTTCATTAAATACTTGATAACTGGTGCTATATTATTAAATACTTCTTCTACAAACAAATCAAACAGAAAAATATGCACATAGAAAAATATACACATGGGCAACGGCAATGAATATGAGAAAACATACTCTATTGGAAGCTGAATCTCAGCAATACCAGTGGTCCACTGTGTAGAGCTTTCTTCTGAATTTCGCTTTTTTACCTGCCAAGACACAAGATTTTTAAAACTAGAAAAGCGGTGCAAATTTAGAGTCTGTTTAGATAAATTTCTCAAAATTAACTTGTAATAACAATAGCTACTTAGGGTCTGTTTGGATAAACAACTTATTTGTAACTTATAGCACAAGTGCTTATCAAAATAAGCTCGCATAAGCTATTTTATAACAAAAATTAAAATAAATTTAAATTGTTTTTACATACGTTATAAGTTGTTTTCATTAGCTATATTGAAGAACTTTTGAAAACAAGTTCAAAAGAAAAAATTTATGAAAAATGTCATATGCTGCTTTGATTAAGTCTCTCAAACAGTATCACAAAACTTATGGCACTAGATAAGTTTACTTTAAGATGGTCAGGGATTGTATATAGTTCATCTTCAGCACGTTTCAACTCATTCTCCACTCGATCTTCTTCATCAATATTTCTACCTCTCTTCTTCGCTAACTCCTGCTCAATATACTTAACCCTGCACATTCATTCATACATATACATCAATATCTATTAAAAATCAACAACTTAAAAAAACTCAAATTCAATAAACTCAGCAAAAAAAAAAACACATACATATTGGGATCTTCATCCATAACAGCAGTCTCTTGAGCAAACGTGTCTTGAAGAACGAGATCATCCTTGTCACCGCCATCGCCGCCGCCGCCGTTCTTTTCAACTGTTTTAGCAGCTAAACCGCCGGAAATTCCAGGATTAGATTGCTGCAAAGTAAGGTTTGCAGGGATTCCTGATTTCCTTTCTCTCTGCTTCTGGAGAAGCTTGATCTCTTCCAATGCCAATCTGTTGCGTCAATTTAGTAAATCATTGGAAAAACAAAAACCCTAATATAATTTTTTTGAGGGAAATAAGAGAGAAACCTTCTTTCGTGTTCATCGTCGGAATCGTTGTTTGATTGGGATTGTGGGAGTTGGTCGTGTTCTTCGGTTGGGTTTCTCTTTCGGTAGTTTTTCCTTCGCGGCTTCTCTTGTTTCGAATTTTCCATTCTTTTGTTCTTCTTCTCAGGAGTAAATCATCCTATGCTGTTATTTTTTTTATTTTTTTATTTTGGCTAAAATCTACCCGTATCTTTTTTTTGGCAAAATCAACCTTCTTAAACAAACTTGTTATTTAATATTAAAAGTTTTTTAGTTTAATAAAAATTATCAATCTCCCTTAACATCCAACTAATTTTAATATTTATTATAGGATTATTATTGTTTTAATCTATGTTTGTTACATCCTCGTTCATTTGATATTTATAATAGTTGATGTATCACTCTCTAAATTATTTGTGATGGTTAATTTGTATTTGTAATATTTTGATTGATAAGTAGTCATTGATATATGGTAAATTATACGTAGGAAATATGAAAAAAAAATAAATCAAAAAATTGTTTTTTTACTTCTCAATTTAAACTTTACTTTCTCTATTCTCAATAATGGTAAAGAAATCCAACGTTCACAATTTTGAAATGTTAAATTTTTCAATTCGCAGGTCAAGTCCATCAATAAATAAAGAAACTATCACTGCAAATTGTCATATCTAAGAAACCATTTATCTCTTATTTTTGTGCTTCTATACCTCTACCGCCACCCTAACCACCATCGGTCTAACACCCACGATGAAGACCACCACATCGTCCTGATTTTTCTTGTCTTATCGTGTCTATCGCACTATTATTGAAACCTTGTTGCCCATGAAATCTCAACCCCCTTTCTCCAACCTACACGAGTAATGAATCTTACATCCTTCATGCTCATTTTTTAATTTAGGGTTTTTGATTTTGGATTTTATGAGAATTTAATTTTTTTTATCGAGCAGATATTAACATACGGGACAATTGGTGGAAGATTTAAGAAAAGAGAAAACCTGTTTGTTGAGGAAGCGTTTTAACGCGTGGGATTTGATCATCTTTTTAAGATTGCTGGTATAACAAATGATGATTTGTTGATTATGTTTGATGTTGATGAGATACCAAGTGCTCATACTATTAATCTTTTGCCATGGTGTGATGAAATATCGATAATCTTGCACCTGCAACTGAAGAATTATCTATGTCCTTTCGAGTTTCACTTGGATGATAAGAGTTGGAGGGCTTCGGTTCATAGGTATGAATCTGGTAAGACACGATATGCACATTATCGTCAGTCAGATAACATGTTATCAGATGCTAGTTGGCATTGTATTTTTGTTTTTGTCGAACCAATGATTTTATTTTTAAGATGAAAGCTTATAGTCATTATGATAGAGTTAGATTCTCTCATTATTTGAATCTTAAGAGAATTCAGAAAATAATATATGAAGGGGCTGATTTATTTGATATGTTGCTTTCGGGGACATTATTGATAAAATGGGTCCTATACCTCATTCATATTCTGCGGTTCATCTTCCTACTTACCTTTTGGAAAATGCAGAGAAGTGTAAATTTCTCTTCCCTGAAAATTGCATGAGAGATGGCATGGGAAAATTATTTAAATGATGTACATACAAATAAGATTGTTTATCTTTTATGAGATATTTATGTCATTTTCGGTTGTTAATTATAATAATTATTGATATTATAGCTTCTTTAGCAAGATTGGTTGAGTGTATGAGATTCAAATTAAGAAGTTTTTGTTTAGAAAATAGAAATTCATTCATTAAGTGAAAACGAAATTTATGAAGCTTTGTATCTTAATTTTGTACTAGTAACAAACCCGTGCTATCGCACGGGTCTCATCTGGATTCACATTACATTTATAGATTATTAAATTATTAAGTATGTTACCATGTTTTCAGTTGAGTATATGTCTCATGTAAACCATGTTGGCATTTAACTCCATATTTGTAGCAAGCGTCGGTCCTATCAACAAATCACGTCTGCATGAACAAATAGGAAAAATTATATACTTCTTGAAATACATGGAAAATGTACATACTATATATTTTAATTCAAAATAGATTTTTAATTTGAATCGTAAAGTATAAGATATAAAGTTTACCAACTATCAAAGTGCTTGAAAGACTTCCTTGTACACAACATTAGTAGTAGTAGAACACGGTACATTCTCCTTGTCATGAATTAGGATTTTTAGCCCACTTTTGCTCTTAACTCTTGAAATTGCAACATATAATTGACCATGACTAAACACAGGAGTAGGCAAATACAATCCAACACTATCAAAAGATTGACCTTGTGACTTATTAATTGTCATTGCATAGGAGACAATTATAATCGGAAATTGTCTCCTAATCAACTTGAATGGCCAAGGTGAATCAGAAGGTGACATAGACATTCGTGGAATGTAAAAAATGTTACCTATGTTCTTTTCATACATGATTTTTGCCTCAATGACATGATTTGCAAAATGATATTAATGATATTATATAAAATTAATTTCATGAAATAAATTTATTTAATAAAGTGTTATATAAATATTTAATACATTATATTATACCATTAATTTATATAAAATGATATTAACTTATTCTTGTTTATAAGATTATTGTAACTTTTTTCCGGTTTATAAGCATGTTGAATTCGTGTGTCCATTATTAAAATATATGTAATTTACTATTATTGATATAAATAATTTTATAAATAGTTTAATTTATTACATTTATAAAATTATTTGTAATTTATTCACCTTTATAAAATTAATTATAAATTATTTAATTTATTAAAATGATTGTATCAATAATTTTTTATTTTATCATAAATTTTTATGATTATCATTTATCATTAAATTTTCATGATTACCATTTAATATTTTTTTATCATGATTACAATTATAAAGTTAATTTGAAAAGATTATGATATATTTTAGTTATTTCATAAACTTAAAAAAATTATCAAATCTCAATTGATTTTGTTTTGTTTTATTAACCTTTTTATAGAAATTGAAATAATTTATTTTAGGTCAAATAAGGATCTAAATAATTACAAAATAATATTTATTCTTACATTTATAGAATGATAAATTAAATATTTAAGATAAACATTAGAGTTCTTATTTACTTTATCTTTTATATATTTATAATATACTTTTTTTGTTAATTTTATTAACAATATATTTATAGTTAACAATACATCATTTAAACTACGTTATTTTTTTCAAGAATATAAATGTAACCTTTCAAAAAATATACACAAATATATTTAGAAGTCGGTAGAAAATTTTATTGGTTAAATTATAATTCCATTCAAAATTTATTGATCATAAATTTTTGAAATCAAATCATGCATAAAAATAAAATGTATTAATGTGACCATTCAAAATATTTTCTATATATAATAAAAATAAATAATATTAATACCTCCATTCAAAAGATATATTTGTAAAGTTTTGATTTAATTTTTTTCATATCTTTATATATTCTAATGTATATAATATTCCTACAATATGAAACAGTATCAAACCTATAATATTAAAAGAGAATTCAAATTTTATTGATCATAATATTTTATGGAATCAAATCATATATAAAAATTAAATATATTTATGTCACAATTCAAAATAATTTCCATATAAGTATAATAAAAATAAATGATAATAATGTCTCCATTCAAAAGATATATTGGTAAAGTATCAAATTAAATGGTACTCCAATATTTGATTAAAAATTGTAATATTTATTTTTAATATTGTATAAAAATATATTAATTAGTCGTACTTTAAAAAAATAAATCGTAAATATTTTATTAAAAACTGTAATATTTGTTTCTAAAATTATAGCAATTAAAAATAAAAAAATATCAATAAAAAATAAAAAATTTATTCAAATTTCACGACAAATGAGAATTATAATTTCGATTCAAAATAAATTAGAATTTTGAAGGCACATCAACACCAACTTGTAGGTTATTATCTTCTATAAATTCCATTAAAACATATGCCAACATAATTTGCAGTAGAAAAATATATTAGGCCAAAACCAATGTTGATATGACATACAAAATATGAAAGCAATAATAATATACATATACATAATTTGAATCAAATCTTGTTAAAAACATTCTTCTATAGAACCAGAAAATGATCGCATATCAACGTTGGTTTTATCATCTTATACATCTTAGATAATTATTGCCTTGCTTATGGTTCTTCTGAAATTGGTAGTGAACTTCAGCAACACCCGCTACTCTTGAACCCTTAAAAACATATTACTTTAGAACTTCGGGTGAATAAGAGTCCCATCCCTTTGACTATCCTCATGTTCATCAAAATCTCGTTCCTCTTCCAAAAACAGTTCCTCCAAACATTGCAATGAGACATTTGCATTTGCTATCTGTCAGAAAATACAATTAGTATATAATCAGTACCTGCCAATGAAAGCCATTGATATTCCTTGTGGAAGCATAAAATTCAATGGTTTCAATTTCCTAATCTTCAATTATGGTTGTAGATGGAAATCAAATGCTCGGGAAATCAAATCATCTGCACCATATTGAACATACATTTACTATTATAAGGTTAACTATCAAATAACTTGAATGAAAATATAAGTTAACACTTGGCTTTGATGATGAATCACATGTGAAAATCGACTCGATTAAGTAGATTTAAAATAGTGGTCTCTGGTTCTGTTGTGGCAGTCTCCAATTCTTCTTTAGCAATATTTTTGTTTGTGAAATTAGAGAAGCAAATGGTCACTCAGCCATGACCATGGTGAATATTGGCACTTAAAATGCTAAGACAACTCTGCAAACAATAATATTATAAAGCATTAAAACTAAAAACAAACTGTTTATTTCTTGGGCATGATAAAAAGCCACGCCATAAACTTCAGGCCAATTTGAATTCATGGGAGAAGGCCGGTGACAACCCTGTCCATCATTGCACACAGTGAGTTTAGGAAGATCATTGGTGCAACATATGTCCTGTTGACCCCCATAAGCCGAACCACTAATCCTCTCTCTATCTTCAACCTCGAAAACAAATGCTTGAATCGACCATGAGGTAAAGTTTGATAATTCCTTGTTAAGACAGATTGTGACTATATTAAACCTATTTTCACATGAC